GGGGCTGAAGTCCACAATTCTGGGAGTTGAAGTCCACAATTCTGGGAGCTGAAGTGCACAATTCTGGCTAGAGAATTCTGGGAGCTGAAGTTCCCAATCTTAAAGTTGCCAAGTTTGGAGACTTCTACATTAAGGCCTACAACAACCTGCTTACAAATATAAATAGTAGCAGATTGCCTTTAGTAAATCTTCTATACTAAAACTACTCTTAGTATAAGGTGGTTCTGGACTTACAACCATTCATTTAGTGACCGTTCAAAGTTACAATAGCACTGAAAAGTGAATTATGAACATTTTTCAACTTAATGACGCTTGCAGTGTCCTGGGGTCATGTGATCACATTTTGTGATACGCAAAGTAAATGGGAACAACAGATTCACCTAACAACTGGCTCACTAACTTAACAATGGCAGTGATTCACTTAACAGCCACAGAATTCTGGAAGCTGAAGTCCACAAGTCTTAAAGTTGCCAAGTTTGGAGAGCTCTGGTCTAAGGAGATGTTTGGCAGCCTTTGTCACCTACAGATAGACTTTGAGTTACAACCATAATCGGGACCAGAATTTCTATTGCTGAGAGAAGTCATTGATGAGTGAGTCATGCCCGCTTTGATATAATTTTTTTGCCACAATTGTTAAGCAATCACTGTGGTTAATCACACAGCCATTAAATGAATCTGATTTTTCCCATTGACTTGGCTTGTCGGAAGCCAGCTGGGAAGGTCAAAATGATGATCGCCGTGACCAAGATCACGTCAACCATTCTAAATACATGCTGGTGCCAAGTGCCCAAATTTTGATCATGACTGGGGATGCTGGATTGTCATAAGTGTGAAGACCGATTGCTCTTCCAAAACACGGTAAAGGTAGAGCTGGTAAATGTCATACATATCCTTAAATCAAGCCATCGACTTCATATGCACGATGCCTGTTTCCTGAAAATGTGTGGATGGGTTAATTTTACATATTTTTTCTTTGATCCGAATGGTACCCTGCTGTTTCTCAGAAGGTTCTACATAATTGTAATCTCTGTGTCCCAATAGCTGGTTAAAGTGATTCCATTTTTTAAAAAGATGTCTGTCTGTCTGTTTGTCTCTCTCTCTCTCTCTCTCTCTCTCTCTCTCTCTCTCTCTCTCTGTCTCTTTATGTATGTGTTGGATATAGTTCAGATGAGAGAACTTCTAATAGGAGTTAATTTTGTCTTTTGATCACAT